TTTGTCGCTGATTGAATGAATATGAAATGATAAAAAATAAAAAAGTTAATTAACGACAGGGTGATAAATCCAGTATTCCCCGTGCGTGAATTCGTAGACAATAAAATTCGAATCGGGGAATTTTTTTTTCCGTTGTTCCTTCGTGGATCTTTCATCCAATGACCGAATTCATCTTTACGGACCGTTCATTCTCGAGTGGTAAATGAGTGAAAGACATCGCACGTGTGCTCAAAAGTTGAATTTCAATTCGTAACGGTGTTTACGCGAATTTCGGGGACGATGAAATTTGCAATTCAGAGTTTGACCACGTGGACAGCTCCTGATGTACCCGACACTGATCGTGCAATTAAAAAAATTAAGATAATGAGACAATCCGCACTAGTTATTGCACTAAAAAAATTCCCACAATAACCGCAAGAAAACTGACGGCCGAAAATCGCAAATTCACTCCGATGAAATCCATTTTCATCGTAGAATTTCAATTAGAACTTCGGTTTAAAAAATTACTCTCGTTTTTATGTATAAAATGGTTCCCCCAGGAGTCAATGGGGTCTTCAACTCCGAGGATTGACATTAGCTACTGCAATTGCAAAAGTGATTCTGCACTTTTCATTCCATCTCGTATTTTTTGCTCATTAATACTCCCGACATCATCTGTTTCTCATAGAAATCATTATCGTAATTAGTCGATCAATAATATGAATGATTATAGAAGACAACTCCCACCGATTTTCCAGATTCTCTGAACACCAAATAAATAAATTTCCACATTTTCCAAAATACCAAAAGTGCAATAAAATATTAACGATCAAAACAAAGATAAAAAAAATGATTTTGACATTTCGCGGTGAAGGAAATTACTCTGGAAATATGTCGATTGGCTGAAAAAATCTCCTCACGCAACTGACCTTTAACTTCGTCTACTTGAGGATGAGCTAACGAAGTCATTAAACGCATCTCAATTTTCTGCAATAAAAAATTCTCATACAGCACGTAGTGATACGATTGGACTGATTATTTAGTCTTGGTTCGCACGGAGAAAAATATTTATTTGTGTATGCGATAATAATATTTTTGAGATGACATTCGGAAGCGGATCGCTGATTTATTACCAATAAATAACAATAAATAATGAAAGCAGTCCGCAGACTTCTTTTACCGCAGATATTGCAAGAGGTAATCAGTCGTAATGATCGACAAAGTAAATTCCTCATTTGCGAATAATTGGACGATTGTTTTGAATTAATCCACCATCTGATGGATATCGAGCAGTAAAAATTGCGTCGATTGGGTCATCAGCTGTTGATTGAATCACGAACATTCCAATGTTCATTGCAAAATCCAATGCCCTGAAACCGCTGGTCTGTTCCTATCCGCCAATTAATTGAATTCTAACGAAGCTACTCGGCTCGTTCAAGTCCAATATTACCAGGAGATCGAGCATCTTAAATTGGATCTTGAATTCCCTCGAGCGAATTCGACATTATCCAGGGACGAAATACCAGATGGATAAATCCATGGCAAATGGTTACAAAAATTAACTCTAACGCAACTTAAAAAATAAGACACGTTTGCGGTATACACTTTAATATGTCTTCAAGGTCAATATGTGTACGGTCGTGTTGTGAAATTATTATTGCACAATATTATCGCATTTCAACCTATTCGTTTTTAAATTGCATTATGGGGAATTGTGTGCCTTAATCTTTCATGATTTTCAGAAATATTTCGATACAGAGACAATTTTATTGTTGATTATTACCATAATTATAGAATTTATAGTCCCCATATACAGGAGTTATTAACAAATGGATTTTTTTTTCAATGGCATAATTTACCTAGTCATAAATAATTTTTCAAGTCACCTTCTTGCCCTGTGGAATAACCTTACGGTTCACATCCTGGCAGTTGGATTTATACTGTACGATTTAGTGGGACAGATAGAGAGAAATAATAATAGCCCCTGGAGCAGGATCAAGCAACACGAGTGGTCGATGCAGATGGTGAATAAAAAAAAATGGAGAAAAAATTAAATGTATTAAATGCACTTTCCATGGAGTTCAGCATTGAGTGGTTTGCAAACGCTCACGTGGAGCTCCGCGTGATATCGTGGGAGGCCTTTGGAAAGGGAATCTGGTCCTGTTTTTGATATCAAAAGCTCCATTATCATTTCCAATTGCTTCATGAATATATTAATTGGAATTTAGTCGTGATCCTTTCGAATTAGCGTAATGACAGATTTTCTCGCGGCGATTGCGCACGTAAAATCGGAAATAATCCATTGAATTTGTGTCATTGTCTAATTAGTGAACGTTATCCTATCGTTTATTGGGCTGTCGACATTATGTGATAATTCAGAATAATTATTGGTTGAATTTTCCACGTTTTCACCGTTTTTAGTGCAATATGCGCGAAAAATAGAATTACCAGAATTTTCTTGTGGCTTTGTCCTCAAAAATATTAATAAAAAATTGAAAATTTGTTAACATTTCAAGTGTAATATTCCAGGAGTGGAGGCATTGGATCTTGGATCGGTTCCCTCAGTTAATACCGAACACACTAGGTACAATTCACATACACACGAAGAAATCTGTTGTATTCGTACCGGCTGATACGGTGAAAGCTGATATTTTGTAATAGTCGGGCTGCAATTCCGTTCCATTCCATTCCGCAGTTGCTCTTGTCGGGAGACCACTATTATATGTGTCTCGTCCCCGAGATTTTTTCAAAGTGATTCATTTTTTTTATCCCCAGAATGCAATTGCTCGCGGATGCTAAATCCAAACGGAGGCGCACCCTGGATTCTTATTGCCTTGGAGCTGTCACGCTCTATTTTGATGAGAATTTAGATGTTCCAGTTTTATGGCCCCAGAGGTGAAATAATACCAGCCACAAACACCCGAGGAATTAATTACCAGCGTAAAAAATATATTTGAGACATTATCTCAATCCTCAATTAATTTTCACTCGATTAATCGATCATGAAAATTTTCTGTCATTTTTTTTTCATTATTATAAGCGATCGTTAAATTGATTGGCATTTTCAATAGAATGGATATTGGCGAAATCGTCGACGTAATTTTTATTATTTTTATTATTTCTTTTGGAAAATTGCAGTTACCAAATGTTGAAATAACCAATTGTTCAATTTGCGGGAAAGCAACAGAAATATCAGGAAAAAATGATAAAGAGTGTAAAGTGAACCCGGAAAATAGTCACCTGAACTTTCACTATCTTCAATTAAATTAGCTGTCGTACGGAGCGGAAAATTTAAATCCCCATGACTATTCAAGGCGTCAATTAATTTTTCATTAACAACCTGAAAATAAATTTAATATAAATGTACTCTTCTTGAAAGCCTCGATCTGTTCTCGTTTCCACTCATTCTCATTTCCGTTAATTTTCACCTCTTCGATTTCTAAAAAATAAATGAAAAAAAAAATAATGATAAATAACGCTTTTTTATTGCATGTTAATGAAAAATAACAAAGGAAGCTGTGAAATTAGATACGATTGAATAAAATTCTGAGATAGAAAAGAAATTCAGGCTAATCTTGCGGACAAAGAAATGAGATTTGAAATTGATTTAACGTATCACTTCAATTATCTGCGACTAGACTAGACGGATGAGCTTGAGATGATAGATTAAATATTAATGTGAGAATAATAAAGGCGCGCCTAAAATTCCTCACCATCACTATCACAAAGCTATCATAAATAACTCACGACACCATTCACATCTTCTCCACTTGCATTGGATTTCGTTTCACTTTTCTCTCCATTCAACCTGATCACATGATTTTCTTCAACTACTTTGTGCTAGGGGAAACACGGTTTTTTTTTTCATTTGTAATACGAATCCGGTAATTACAGACTCAAGATGCTCGAGAGTGCAGTAGGAAACGAGAATTTATGGGGTTTTATTGGTGTCAGATGCTGTGTACTTTACTATTATACAGCTTGCGGCTGTTTGGAGCAATGTACGCTCCTGGAAAATTATCTTATATATGTTCTATCAATTAAAAACTTAGTCCGAGTCTTGTAAAGACTGTGCCACCAATGCGTACAACGCGTAATGACAACAGGATTTTTTTTGAGCTTGAACAAAGAAACTCTAGGTTGGAAACGAGTTCTGAAGAGAATGATTCAATTACACCATTTTTTTTCAATCAGGTTTCAGTCGATATCTGGGGATCAAAAGGGAGTTGTGTAATTTTTTAACTCAAAAGGTTTTTCGATTGAGAGGAAACCTCACTTCTGCCTCTTTATGACCATGGAATCACAATGAAGTTGATTTTTTTTTTGAATTGTCGAAAATCCATTATGCAATTTAATTGAATTTTTAATTGCATGAATTGAACTTCAATTTCAATTTACAACCCTTCATAAAATTGGGTTTTTAATGTGGAATTGTAATTGTTTTTCAATGAGGTTTGGAATTATTATAATTTCTCACGTCAATCCCATCGTGGGGTTGTAGAACATCTGTAATAAAAAACCTGTATTTTTCCTGAAAGAAATTGCCTTCCTGGGACTTGAGATTCTCTTGGGAAAAATATTGAGAGAAAATGATGAATGAGTAGAATAATCGTCACCCATAAATGTTAAACGCACGCCATTAAAGGTGACGTACATTTTTTTTGTCAACATAATTAGGTGTATGACAGAATTTCGAGGTACAAATCGTAAGTCGATATTGCCCCGAAGTAGAATAACCGGCCGTTAGCTTCCGCGTGCGCATTCGATTATCCATCGAACTATTCCTCCTTATTAACTTGAATCTTGTTGAGCATTCACCACTCGAGTAATACCATATTGAGACTGAAAAACTGGCCGTGAGTATATATCTAATCGTGATATGAGCCCGAGGGTAACTTTTCATTTTGTTCACCGCCACCATTAAAGATTATCTCTCCAACTTCCGGCTCCAGAGGTATCCCGGCATTTCCATTTCAACACCAGGAACTGCTAAATTAATTGATTGTTTTAAAGTGTCGTTTGAAATTTTACACCTGGCTATCAGTACTTGACGGTGAAACTCCTGAATTCAAAGGAATTTCCAAATTTATCCTTCTTTCACCGGAAACATGTTGGATTTTTATTTTATTTTCAGAAACACTTGTCGTCATGTATTTTCAATGTTGTGAACTTTTTAGATATTTTATGCAATCTGTTATGGGTAAAATGATCTATTTATTTTAGATTTAGTTTAGAGAGTTTTCCAGATAGGAAAGAATAAAAATATCTCGTTATATGCGAGATTTTCGTGCAACAAAAATTGCGAAAATTGCATAGCCCAGTGGTTTATAGCACGGCGTGACATAAATTGAATAATTGGAAAGTTTTCAGTGAATTGGAAATAATTGTGGGGGTTTAATGAAGGTTCTAATGGCACCTCTAATTGTTAAATATTCTACACGCAACAAAAAATATTAGAATACTCGAGTATCCTTGACTGCACGAGCAGACATTTTTCTTGTCAATTTTCCTAGTAAAATCCCGGAGATTAATGACAGGTGGAATTTCCACCCAAGGTCCAGGAAATGATTAAAAAATTACCTGCTCCATCCAGCCTCTTATAATTTCAGGAAAAAAAAATTGGTGGAATAATAATACAGTTCAATTCAATTCAATTGAACGTGTGGCATCACAAAGATCATGAAATAATTTCTACTTGAATCCGACTAAATTTTCTCCTTAATCCGAGTCAGTCTAATTATCAATCGGTGAATTATGATACTGATTACCAAATAATCAATCTTCACACGTTCATCAGAATTCTCGATTGCCAATTGACAGTAGCTGGTAACATATCAACACCGATGATGTAACAAGCGTAAAAAAAATAATCGACATGCAGTGGAACATTGTCATGTCTCGCGAGGAATGTTTCTGCGTTCATTGAATTACATGTTGATGTTTATGGTTAGAGTAGTTATGATTCATTTGCGAGTGGAGGATTTGAGTGAAGTATTTTGCAAGATTAGTCGGATAGTTTGTCTCGGGATTTGTTTTATGGGACAGTCGATTGGTGGGAACTGAATAGACAATGGTCAGGCATGAGGGACTTGAGGTGATTTTCGGATGAGAATGGAGGATTAAATAGACTGTATGTGGATGGCACATAGTCATGCAAATTGACGTTCAGCTTCCGTGGAGCGAATAGAGTTCTTCATTTTTAAACTATTTTCTTCGTACGTTCTCCGGTTGTGGTGTGAATTTTAGGTCGTGTCCTTCATACGGTAATTCGGATGCCGTCGGTGACACTAATTACCCGCACTCTACCAATTTTATTTTTGAAAGGAACTCGTAGTGGGGAGAGGCAAAATGGAACGTCTTCAATTGTCAATTATTATTTTAATTTTTCAGTGGAAGTATAACCTTCAGTCTGAATTTGTAATTTTTTTTTTTATAATATCGATTAATTAGTGGATCAATTTTCCCAGTGCGGAATGTCTGTTAATTTATCCTATGAGTCATTCACCATCTGCATAACGTATGATCGATAAGTCTAATCGATAATCAATGTATCTCAGTTATCGATTTATCGCGAGTGAAAGGCTGCATTTTAAAATGCCACCGCGCTTTCTCTGCAGCGCGGGGAAAAGTCACTTGACAAACCAATCAATTCGGAAAGAATGATCTTGATGACAGAACCAAAGACATTCCATTCCAATAGAACGAGACATTTCTCCGGATGTCGATTCTGGTGAATAACGGAAGAGAAGTCCAGATCGCTTCACTCCACAGAAGATTTATCCTGCGAAACTAATTGAATGTTCTAGTCACGGTATACGACACCGTGTCAGATAATTTTTCAATAAAAGTTTAAAATTCCCGCGATTTCTCAATTTTTTTTTTTAAGTTGAATGAATTTTTTATTAATTTGTTTCAATAATTCAAAGTGAATATTTTTTTTGAAGAAATGAATTTTTGGAGGGATTTTTCATTTTCACTCAGCACAAAGTGCCTGAAGAACCGTTACGAAAATAATATAGAACGTCATCGTGTGCCTTGACGTTTTGCCAACGGCGGAACACATTCGTGATACCTCAGTACGTCGTATCCTCGAAGTACCGGTAACTAGGATTTTAATAACATCTACTGTTACACGCTCGTCACCAAGTGTCCCACCGATTGCATAAACTAATTGCATCAGGCCGCGACTACCTGGGACTTCGTGACTAACGGTAAATATGTCATTTAGAAACCCTACGGATTATCAAATTGCATGAAATATCTGACTGGTTACTTCTTGTTCCAGGAATGAAAATGAAACCGAGCCGGTCTTCACGAAGCCAAAAATATATTAATAATTGCCCTTGAATTTTCTACTACACAGGTATAAAAAATATAAATTTTATGGGCTGCAGTGCAATTTACCTGCATTTTGATAATTATTTATTTACTTGAGGAGATTTTTAATTGTCAATGATTTTCAAGAGCTCCAATTTCTACGAATTAAATCCCGAATTTCGAAAAAATTAATTCAAACGTCGACATAGAGCTATCCTAATTTACTCAGAATTCCCGATTTCCATTTGTTTGGTAAAATTTTCAATC